TTTGAGAAGTAACATTTCTTAATATATTTTCTTTCAATATATTTAGGAAAAATATATTGACGCAAAAGAGAAATATTTACCTGTACATTGTCCTCCATTGGTTGGATCTCCATAATAACCTGGCATGCAGTCTTGACACTGTTTACCCGTGGTGAGGTTTTTACACTGTTCACATACATTATTATTGATGCAAGTGCTATGTCCATTACATTGGCAATCTAAAGAAAACAGCAAAAACCATTATAAATATCTACATAGCAACAGAAGCAATAATAGCTATCAAGAAAGAATTTATTATAAAAATCTAGATCCTAGCAAAGTCCAAAGAACACTTCACAAGTTTTTTTTTAATGCATAACATATATATATCAAACTACTAATGCAAGACAATATATACAATAAATTGTGTGGTAAAATTTTATCTTAACCTCTATAAACTTTATAAAAGCAGAAGACAGAAATAATATGAAATGTAAAAAATTATAGCTAATCAGGGAAATATTTTTTAAAGATTCATATGAATGGCATGGCTATTAAGTTACATAAAAAACTGAATATAGCTTTGATAAAGAATGTCAAATGTGGCAAAATATATTTGTGCTTAATAACAAAGGATCAATAAATGTAGAAAATTCTGTGGCAATAAATATTAACTTCACAAAACTAAATTAGCTAGATGTAGTGGAGCATGCCTGTAACCCAGAGCACTGAGAAGCTGAGAAAGGGGCGCTGCAAGTCCAGTATCCACCTGGACAGTTTAAAGACTTAGTGAGGCCCCATCTCAAAGTACAAAAGAAAACAGAGCTGGGATGTGGCTCAGTGTAAAGGTCCTGGGTTCGATCCCTATTACCACTATAAATGAATACACACATACATACATAAACAGTAAAATGAATAAAAATAGAACTTTTAAATTAATTTGTATAAATGTATACAGTATCTTCTTTGGACAAGAACATTTTGAAGTTTAACTGAAATTCTATTCTAACTTGAAGTAAACGGAATCAGATTTAAAGTAGAGTGGAGCCTTAACTTGTGAACTCAAATTAGATTGGGAGGGCTGGTTGTAACTCAAGTTGGTCAGTTGAAGGCTCAGGCTCGTCTACACAGCCTTCAAAGTCTCTCTCCTGTATCCAGGCAGATCTCAGTGTCCTTAGAGAGACATCAGCCCAGGATTTCTCAATTAACCCCACACAGGAAAGGATGTTATAATGTTTCTTCCTTCTTTAAGGATTAAATCTGCATCAGAGCATCTGGAAGCACAAGCGACCAGCATTCAGCTCATAGCTCAATACTTTGGTTTTAAGTTAAAACTAAAATTCCAGTCATAACCCAAGTTGTTTGTATGTTAGATGGGCCACAACTTCAGGATCCACTTGTATAAGCTCTTTTTTGTGTCTTCAGACTTTAATATGTTTTCATATTAATATTACAGAAGTATCAAAAAATTTCAGACCATCTATAAAGTTCATATATGAAGACACATGCTTTAAATGCCTGTGTGAAGCACTGACTAGTTCAGTAACTGCTTGCCTAGATAGATATCATCATCCTTATCACCCTTATAAGCATCATTATTATTATTACAATGAAGATAGCAGCCAGCATCTCATTGAGCTCTCTCTCACTCTATGCAATATGGGAAAGCCAATATTTAGCCAGTGTCAGTTTGTGATTGGTGTCTATTCTCATTGGTCAGAGTACATTTTGCATCAGTTTTTTAAAGACTGTAAATACATGCCCAGAGAGAGTAGCAAGCAGTACACATGAATTATTTGACACCAAGAACAATGCTGTGGGGAAGCTACTATTTTAAGTACCATTTCTAAGATGAAGAAGCCTAGGTTAAGTAATTGCCCAAAGTCCACAGCTAATCAGATAAAGAAACAAATATGTATTTGGGAATTCTAAGCCAGAAAATAAAACATTAAATACCATATGCAACTGCCACACTTGTACGGAGTACATTTGAAAATGAGATGGATTTGGCAAGATAGCATCATAGGGTTATCAACATAAATTAACTTCAAAGAAACACACACGCAAAAAGATTAAAATCAAATAACTGTATTTTACAGAGGTATTCAGAAATATAATTTTATCTAAACAGTACAGAAATGACATGAACTCATCATAGAAATGTGTTAATCATCATCTTTTTTATGAAATTGAGAAAAATTATAATGTAGTTTTAAAAACTGCATTATATTATGATACACCTAGAAGAAAATTTGATTAAAAGGGAAGTGTTCATGATAAATTAAACAGGGATAGAAACCATTATATTTTGAATAATGAAAATTTTGTTTTGAAATATAAATATTTAAATGCTTATCAACTTTCAAAAAGTTAACGATAGTATCAGTTTACTAAGATCACATTTAAACAGCAGATTCATATCATCTTTATATGCAATAATGCTGTTATTAAAATTTTTAATCTTTAAGTATTATGCTTAATAGGTTAAGATATTGTTTCACAGCAAATTTATTATGTGGTACCAGTAATTAATTTACTCAGGAAAAACGAAAAATTTTATTGAGTGCCAAGTACATATAAGGCATTACTTGAAGATATAAACCAAGAACTGGGTTTCTCTATGTATAGTACTTCATGAAATTTCTGGCAAATGAAGGATTCACTGGTGGGAGGTGCATTAAATTTTGAATAAGAGGGTTGAATTCAGCTCTCACAACTAAAATCCTTCTCGTAGATTAACACTGAAATAAGGAAATTTGCCAGTAGCAACAAAAATATAGTCATGGTACAGCTACACAAAAAAAACTAGACAGTAGTAATCTATATTATCTCTTAAAATTAAAAGAAGACCCCTGGTATAATACCACTCAAACTTTCCTTCCTGAGAGAGATTTTGAAGACAAGGATTGCCAGGCCAGGATTTAGCTCAATGTTTCTGCCGCCTGCCTCACAAGCACAAGGTCCCAAGTTCAATCTCCGGTACCAAAAAAAAAAAAAGATAAGGATAGCCACAGGTTAGCCAAAAGGCACATCACTGGGTTATACATCCATACAGGTACTGGAAAGTGTGACCCAAGGGTATTCAATAAAGTGGATATATCAAGCAGAAAGCTGGTATAATTTAGATTTAACTGCAGGAAAAATTTATAGCAAAAGAAAAAGATTGATCATTGTCATACCCTACAACTAGTATGGTATCAACGGCAAAGGAGAAAGAATGTTATAAAAAGCTATACCCACACATAACAACAATATGAAACATAGATAAGGACAAAATAGACTATGACTGTTTTATTCTTTGCCATAAGAATGTTTACCAATAGTCAATTATTATTATAATTAGCTTACATCTAATAATTTTCCAGGTTACACTGTTACTGCAATCTAGCTAAAGAACATTTAAAAAATAAAGAAAATCTATCTATTCTATTTTGTTTAAATTTTAAAACCAGCCCAGATAACTTCTCATTTATGGATACACAAACAGAAAAAAATGAAACATAATGACATACTTAAAAAAAATAAAATGACAAATCTAGCATTTGATACGCAAAAAAGAAACATAGTTTTTAAATTTGTCCATTCTAAAGCAGATGTGCAACATTTTAAAATATCTTCTTGACAACCTCAATAAACTTCAAAAATACATATATAGAAATTCAATGAAAAACTACCCAAAATATTTTCAATACATAGCCTATCTTAAAGAAAAAGAATTATCAGGTGCTAACATGAAGCAGAGATTCAAAACAAGAATGGTAAAGAAAGGTTTGAATAAGCATTAAAATTATACTATTTATGGGATAAATAAGTAAGCAACCACTAGCAAATATAGATTTCACAATCTAGCAAGGGTATGAGATAAAATTGCTGGCATCCTTAAGAAAGGGAGCTAAATTAAACCATGTTCATAAAGTGAATTCATCAACTGCAATAACTAGCTCTGAAAAAGGTACTAAAACAGGTCATAAGCCCAAGAAGAAAACAACCAAAATACACTGGTATATGTGTATGACATGAAAAAGGCACATACAAGAACTTAAAGCCTCAGCCAGATATTATGTGTTGGACTGAAATTTACATTGTCCATATAGAAACTCCAAAATCAAGCATTAATATAGTATTTTGTCCACCCTTCAGGAAGAAAAGTATTACACACTTAAAAAAACAGATGCACATGGCCCCTGATATAGTGGCACAATTTAGGCACATAAATATTCTGCAAAATAGGGACTGGGGATTTGTTTTTCCTGTAAAGGACTAGATAGTAAATATTTAGACTCTGCAAGCCATATAGTCTCTGCCATAGCTACTCCTTTCTGCCACTTGTATACAATATACATCTGAGCACAGCTATATACAAAAATAAAACTTTCTTTAAACAATTGGGAAATAGACCAGATTTGGCCTCCAGGCATTGGTTTGCCAACGTGACATGATAAAAAAAAAACAAAACATTAAATTAAATCTCACAATGAAAAATTACAACAAACCACAAAGAAGAATCAGAAAAAATGAGAGAAATAATAAAAATAAGAAATGACACACAACCACTTAAAGAAAAAATAGAAGATAAAAATGCTCAAATAATTAAAGATAGAAAATACTTTAAAGAAATTTAAAGAAGTAAAGGAAGGTATAGTGATATCAAATAAAGCATATCAACAGATATAAAAATAATTAAGAATAAAAGAAAAGTTAAAATACAAAAATAGTAAATACAATAGACAGATTCAACAATAGATTTGAACTGGCAGAGGAAAAATTACCAAGCTTAAAGATACATAAATAGAGATTATGTAATCTAAAGTACAGAAGGAAAAAGATTGGAAAGAAGTAGACAGAGCTTTGGAAAAATGTGGAATTAACATATGTGTAAAGGAAATGCTGAAAAGAGATAAAGAGGCTAAATATTTAAAGAAACAATTTCTTTTAACTCCCCAAATTTGACAAAATATTTTAAATGTGATAAACACAGATATTCATAAACAGATACACTGTGATAAAAATAATGAAGGCCAAAGACAAGGAGAAAATTTTGAATTCAGCCAGAAAATAAAACTACTATTATTTTCAAAAATAAAATGCACGGGGTGATGATATTTTCAGAGTTCTCAAAAACTCAACTGAGAGTCCTCTGTTCAGCAAAGTTATGATTTAAAAACAAACTGAAGGGCTGGGGATTTAGCTCAGTGGTTCCACCGCCTGTCTCGCAAGTGCAAGATTCCGAGTTCAATCC